GTCTAGCTTCTCCCAATTTCTCATCGATTTTTGCAACTCTGATCTATTTCATGTCAATTTTATGGTGATTTTTATGTTAGTTACTTTGTTGCTGGAAACGGAAGAAAAAGAATCACCGAGGGTCCGAGAGCAGGTGGTGGTGAATTTGGTGGGATGCGTTTGAAGCTTATGGTTTGTGTTGATTTTTTTATTGAGAAGGAGGCTTTAACCGCCGGAGGAAGGAACAGGCAGATATCATAACAACATCCAAGCAGTGCTCTGCTTGCATGGCTCTCGAGCTACAGGATTACATCACAAAGATGGCCATCAAACAAAAGCTGGGAGCAGATCAAAGCAAAACACTAGGAGAGACTAGCTACTCGTTGCTGACAATTTGGCGAAGGAAACTGATCCCTCTATGTCATCCATGATGATGCGTTCAAGCTCGATGGGGGGTTTGTGTTGACTGACTCGTAATTAGTAGTTACTGTAGGGAAAAATGTTTCCAAGATCAACGACTTGAAGAATGAGTTGAGCAAGTCTTTTGACATGAAAGACTTGGGACCAGCAAAGCAAATTCTTTGCGTGAGGATCGTTCGAGATCGAGGTGCCAAGAAGATATGGTTGTCACAAGAGAAGTACATTGAGAAAGTACTTCAACGTTTCAGCATGGATAATGCTGAAGCGGTTAGCTGTCCTCTTACTAACCACTTTACATTGACATCCAAAAAGAGCCCGTCTAATGAGAAGGAAAAGGCGGAGATGGATAAAATTCCATATGCTTTAGCAGTGGGAAGTTTGATGTACGCCATGGTGTGTACAAGGCCATATATTGCTCATGCAGTTGGAGTTGTCAGTCGGTTTCTTTCCAAGCCAGGAAAGGAACATTGGGAAACTGTGAAGTGGATCCTCAGATACCTTTGAGGTAGCTCCAAAATGAGTCTTTGTTTTGGAGATGGTGAACCTGTCCTTGTTGGTTATACAGATGCTGACATGGCAGGTGATGTTGATTCGAGGAGGTCGACTTCTCGGTACTTGATTACCTTATCAGGGGGAGCAATATCGTGGCAGTCAAGGCTACAAAAGTGTGTAGCTCTTTCCACAACAGAAGCTGGGAATATAGCAGTAACGGAAGCATGCAATGAGATGATATGGATGAAGAAGTTCCTGAATGAACTTGGGTTCCTACAGGAACGACCGCATCTGTTCTGTGACAGTCAGAGTGATATTCATCTTGTGAAGAATGCTTCATTTCATGCTCGATCTAAACATATTGATGTCCGATATCACTAGATCCGGGATGTACTTGAAATGAAGCAACTACAACTGGAGAAGATCAATACTGACGAAAATGGATCTGACAAGTGTGCTAAGACTCTTCCAAGAGAAAAGTTTGAGTTCTGTCGATCAGCTGCAGGGATGATGAAGTCGCCCATGTAGTCAGGCGGGGGAGAATTGTTGGCCGGGCTACATGTGGTGGAGCAAGAGCCAGCAATTGGTGGTGTAAATTGTAAATAATAATAATAATAATAATAATAATAATAATAATAATAATAATAATAATAAAGGTACCGTGTGATGAAGTTGGGGAGTTGAGCAGATGGGAATTAATTTTCCTTTGTATCCCAAGAGCCTATAAAAGGAAACAATTTGTTCCTTGCTCAAATCATCCCACACCAATCCTTCCTCTCTAGTTTCTTTCTCCGTAGCCTTCCTTTGTATGCTCTTTCAGCAATTCTTTACTTGTGGGTTCTGGTAGTGAAACGTTTTCACTACCACTGGTAGATAGGAGATTTACTTGTGAGTGAAATAGTGAGGTTGTTTGGGAAACACCGTGTGTTCTATTTCATGTATTAAGAAAATCTCTGTAACCTACCATTGTTATAGTGAAGAAATACTCCGAAGCTGCTGTTCCCGTGGACTGGCCCAAAATCAGGGTATACAACATAAATCCTCGGTGTTATTTACTTACTGTCTATGCTTGTTGTTATTTTGAGAATAGTCGTAGTATATTGCATTATTAAATTACCGAAGTAAATTGATCTAAGTAAGTTGGTTACCGTAATTCTGGAGACTCTGCCACCAGGTCCAACTTACATGTGAACTTTTTACAAGCGTGTGATTTATTAGTGTAATATATTTACCCGCTATTCTCACCCGCTGCGCCCAACAGTTACTGCATTAGATCCTTAATTACTCCTCTGGTTGCTCCCCAATTGGCTCAATCATTTACTCCACCATTCACTGTGTATTTCTTTTGACAATTCCTTTCTCTTGCCAGCTAGCATTTCTGTTCACTAGCCATGTATAAAACTGGATGCACAACCACACACGAAACATTGATTTTTTTTTTTTTGCCTTGAAGGAGGCCGAGGCCAAGAAAAGAAGATTACAGGGGCAGGGGATTAAGAGGGAGCGAGCTCTTGGCGGGAAACAATCTGTCGCTCGAAAGACACTCCTTGACAATCATCTCGTAGAATGGAAGCTAAGCCTGGGGGCGAGTTTGCAAGCTCGTGTACACCGTATGGATAGACGAGACTGTGCTTCGAGAGCCAGTCCGCGACTCTATTCCCTTCCCGGTATACATGAGTGATGCTCACCAGCCAATCTTGGCTTAATTTCCTACCAATAGAGGCGATCAAAGTGGCGTAGGGATGGACCGGATCTTGTCTGTTCTTGATAAAATCAATAGCCAGCTGTGAGTCGGACTCAATATGAAGGGTTCGACATCCTGATTTCCAAGCTAACGTCAAGCCATGGGAGACAACCCACAACTCGGCCAATGCAACAGACGCTTCTCCAATTTTAGCCACAAATCCCGACACCCAGCGACCCGTAGCATCTCTCAGAACGCCTCCTGTACCAGCAGCTCCGGGGTTCCCATTGGAGGCACCGTCGATGTTCAGCTTAAGCCAGTCTTCCTGAGGCGGCTTCCAAGCAATCCCTGCAGTGGTCCTAACTGTAGTAGTACGTCTCAACCCAGGAAGCATGGAAGGAGAATTCCAAGCTTCATTCCATAATTTGGCTTTCGCCACTATCGAGTGCGCTAAGGAGGGGGGAGTAAGGACCGCTCCCACCCCTTTAAAGCAAGATGTAGACCTTTTTTCCAAATAAGCCACAAGGCAATGCTGAAAAAACTAGACCACTTCATATCCAGAACTTCACAGTCCTCGTCTTCCAAGTTGGCCCGTAACCTGGTAGTCGTATCCGCCATGAAGAAAGCTTGTTGTTTGCTGCTAGGAACATACCTGGACCAAAAATACAAAGCCGGTGGGCAGTACCTGAGGATGTGAATGTTGGATTCCGGATGCCCACTGCACCTCGCGCAGTCCGGAGAGGAGGCCACATTCCTAGAAAAATGGAGACAATTAGTCGCTAGTTTTTCTAAGAAGGTCAGCCACATGAAGCTACGGATGCGCTCCGGTACTGGGAGACTCCAAATCATCTTCCAATATCTTTTATCTGGATTGGTCTCTTGCATAGTCAAAAGCTGGTAGGCTGAACTGGTCATGAACTTGTCGTTGGAGGAAGGTGTCCAGAAGAGCACGTCCTTGTCGGGGGAGAGCGTGTCGACTGCCACACTCAAGATCTTGTTCTGCATTGAACTCGAAATCTTATCACCAAAAAGATCTGTCCGCCACAGGCCATCATCTGTCACAAAATCGGCTACCACTGTCTCGGCCTGCTCGCTAGTGATTGGGCTCGTCGCCACGTTCTTGAGCGGTTCCTGTAGCAACCACAGATCATACCAAAATTTAGTGTTCCAAGCATTTTTAATATTCCATGCACAACATTTGTGTAATAGGTTGGAATCTTTGGTGAAGCTTTTCCAAGTGAAAAAACTTCCCTGAACTGGACGAAGTAGCTCGAGGTTCTCCCTTGATCGGTCGTACTTCAGTCTCATCACTTGCGTCCACAAAGTGTCTTTCTCTTTCGAAAGTCTCCACCCACTTTTGGCCAGCATTGCTAAGTTATTTTGAGAATAGTCGTAGTATATTGCATTATTAAATTACCGAAGTAAATTGATCTAAGTATAAAACTGGATGCACAACCACACACGAAACATTGATGAATGAGGATTTGGCAATTCCAATTCTTTCCATCTCTTCACCACTTCCTGTTACACATTTTAAAGCAGGGGCCGTAGGAAGGATAATTGATCTTTGCATGACGATGATACCGAAGTTATTCATCTGGGATTTTCTGTGCTGGTTGTTTACAAATAGATAGAGAGGAAGGAGAGTGAAAGGAGGGTAAAAGTGTACTTTGGACAAAATGTCTCATCCCAATTGTCTCATCCCAAATTCTAACCAAACAAGGTAATTTCACACAAATTTCTCATATAAATGTCTTATCTTTCAAAATGAGGCAATTGAGTCAAATTGCCTCATTTCTCAATTGCTCCATCCAAACGACCCCTATACCAAAATAACAATCGGTAATTGGATTCAACATATAATGAAAATTCAAACACACTTATAAAAAATCAATATTAAAATGATCAATTTTGAATTATCAAAGGTATGGTTAGACAAATGAGAAACGAAAAAAGAGTCACAATTCGCAAACCAAAGAAAAAACGAGGTCGTGTAACTTCCAACCCACAACCATTCCTGCCGATCCGTTCGGATATGTGTTGCATGTTTTCCTCATCAGGGCATGGTCAAACTTAGCTTACCGATTCGTGGAGCGGGAGCGGGAGCGAGAGCGCGAAATCGTCTATTTTGCAAGAATTATATTTCGAGAGCGTCAAGAGAGCGTTCATATTATATTATATTATTTTATATATTATATAATATATTAACAGAACTTGGACAATATAACAAAGTTGGAATTGCTACTTGTACTAAACCTACCTACCTACTAGAAGATAATGTCCTATAGTTAACTTTTGGGTCTTCCATTTCATTTGGTTGGTTTCTATAAAAGTGGGCTTTGATTTTAAGTTTTAACTATGACTTAACATCCATTTGAATTTGAAGCCCATATATATTTGAAGCCGACAAATAAGTTGGCATATGACCAGAGTAAGGAATTAATTATTCCCCTTCATTTCGTCTTCTTCCTCGTTTCTTTCTTCTTCAACTTTCCCCTAAAAAAAACTTTCCCCTTTATCTGTTAAATTTTAAATCTCTAATTTTAAGTTGGTCGAATTTGTTTCCTTATCGCTCGCAGAGAAGCATTTCTCGGAAATCCCTCTCGCTTATCTCTTCTTTCTACTCCACCGCCGGATCTCCATGGTAGTGTAGCGACGGAGACTGTCAAACCCGCCGCCGTCATCGCCTCCGCCTCCCTGTCTCTCTCACTGAACATTCTATGAGGGCTCTTATCAGGGTTCTCCCCACATATTTCAAGATCTCCTCAATTGATAAAGTCCTCTTAGATGCATGTAGAGACTCCGGCCTCTTCCCAACTTCTTTGATCAACCCAACCACTGATTTCATCTCCTCCACCATCTCGACAATCACTATTGTCTGCAATTCCTCTTCTGGTGTCTCTGTGAAATATAGTCGCGAATTAATTTGCGAAATTCGCGCTCCAAGAGAAGTTAATTAGTGAATTTTGTGCGAATTCTTTCTAATTCGCGTTTCGGCGCTCCAAGTCGGGAGCGTCGACCCATTCCCGGCGAATTGTGTGACCTAAGGTCAAACCGTGGGTTAACATTAAAAGTCAAATTTTAGTGATTGATTTGATAGTATCCAAAGTTAGTTGACCATTTTTGTAATTACCCCCTAAAGATTTTATTACTAGTGCCGCCGAGTACTTTTCCCGCAGCGCATCCCACTGACCCACCAGTACCCCAACTCTACCGCCGGCAGCAAAATATGGAATCAATCGGTGTTCTCCTGATGTGTCCAATGTACAGCTACCTTGAACAAGAGCTGCAATCTCGCTTCAATCTCTTCAAACTCTGGCAGCAACCACCCTCCAAAATTACCGAATTCCTGAAATCCAACCAGAGAACCATAAAAGCAGTGGTCAGCAATGCGAGAGTCGGCGTCGATGCTCAACTGATTGATTCATTGCCCAATTTGGAAATTGTGGCCAGTTTCAGCGTAGGGTTCGATAAGATTGATCTCAAGAGGTGCGAGGAGAAGGGAATTAGGGTTACAAACACACCCGATGTGCTCACTGACGATGTCGCTGATTTGGGTATCGCCTTGATTCTTGCGGTTCTCAGAAAGATATGCCCTTGTGATGGGTTTGTAAGGAGTGGTAAATGGAAAGACGGCGACTTTGGTCTGTCAACCAAGGTTTGTTTAATATTTGTCAAGATTTGGGGATTGGGGGTTTCTTCCAAGCTCTGGTTTTGAATTTATTTTGATCGCATTGGTTTGCTCAAGTGTCTTGTTTCTTGGTTTCTGTATCGGAATGAATGGTTATCTTGTTCTTGACAGGGATAGGATAGAGATATGATTGTGCAAATTGTTATTATCTATAGATTTAGTTGGTCATTAGAAATGTGATTAGTTTAGAACAGTTCATAGTCAATAATTATGCATTATCGTGAAAGAATATCTTCTTCTGTTTCTTTATTCGAGGATTATGGATCACTGGTTTAGTTACATGAATGTAGACTTTGGGAGTCCCTACCATGAATCATTGACTTAACAGCGGATAAGATTATAGCTTTGTTTTGTCAACCTCCCTATGAAAGAATAGGCGTAGCAAAGAGCCAAGAGCATTTGAAGTTAAGATATTTTCCTACTGAGCAACATTTGAACTGTATTGATGTTGAAGCAAATGCCATCCTATATTCCTATTGCTAGAGCTTGATCTAGCAGGCATTGTAAGTTTGTAACCTTTCTTGTTTCGTTCTTCAGTTCAGCAGTAAACCGGTTGGAATAGTTGGCCTAGGGCGAATCGGATCAGCAATAGCCAAGAGAGCTCAAGCATTCGGCTGCTCCATCAGCTACCACTCCAGAACCCAGAAGCCATTGAAGCCATACAAATACTACGACAACATCGTAGACTTGGCCAAAAACTGCTCAATCCTCGTCGTAGCATGCTCTTTGACAGACGAGACACGCCACATTGTCAATCGGGAGGTTATCGATGCACTAGGGCCACGAGGCATCTTGATCAATGTAGGTCGAGGGGCCCATGTGGATGAGCCTGAGCTCGTCTCTGCATTACTAGAAGGTCGACTTGCTGGTGCCGGGCTCGATGTGTATGAAGATGAACCCGAGGTACCTGAACCATTGTTGCGGCTTGACAATGTTGTGCTCCTCCCTCATGTGGGGAGTGATACTGTGGAGACTTGCAATGCCATGGCTGACCTTGTGCTTGCTAACTTGGAGGCACATTTCAACAGCAGACCACTTCCCACCCCAGTTATATGACCACCTGGGGTAAGTTTTGAACTCAGGATTCTCATTAAGCTTGATGGATATTTATATTACTTATAATTTATTAGATGAAAACGGAAATTGACAGCTGGGTTTCTAGTAGAATGTACAAAGAGAAAAAGGAGCATTATGATTTCAAACAAGCTCCTTCCAAAAGGTTCCATGGTGAAGACTCATTTTCTCAGACGTAGGAAATTCCAAAAAGAACCCATGTGCGCATGACGTGGGTTGTTCCCTTCCCCATCTTTTCTCCTTTCTTCTTCTTCTTCATTGATTTAATTAGACATCCTCGTCAGGAAGAAGAAGCTCCTTTGAAGATAAGGAACTTCAGAGTCTCCAATGTGAAGTATATGAAAGTGCCTTTAGAGTGAGTGAAGAAGCAGCCAAAGTTTGAACCAACCACACATTGCCATCCACCTCCATATCTCTTGTCAAACTCCTGCGGCTCGACCACACAAACCACACAAATGAGAGAAGGGGAATACAAAGTTGCATCTTGCATGTGACCATAAACAGAGCAAAAACTTCCAACCTTTTAAAGAAGGAAGCTAGAAAAATCATGCTTCAAGGATTGAGATTTTATGACCTGCCTACTTATGATATCAGTTTCTGTTTTACTTGCAGAAAAACTGGCAATGAAAGGAAGCCGAAATTGGTTACCTTCTTGATGTGGCCGGCGATGGATCTGCTGTCGACCACGTCATAAAGATCCAGAGCTTCAGAAGCGCAAGCCATGGCTTCCATCTGCATCTTCACTGGCATGTCTGTATCATCAACGAGTGCTTTTCCTTCCAACATCTTTGAAAATGAAAGTGGGAAATGGAGAGTGAAAGAAAGAGAGAGAGAGGGGGGGAGAGAGAGAGAGACCCCAGTTGAGGAAATGCAGAGTAGGAGAGTTTTCGTTTGAGGGCTTCTTATCCAAAGAAACCCCCTTGGCCCCTTGTGATTGTGAGACTGGGAAAGGGCTATAAAAATGGAAAGGTTTTCTAGGGAGAATCCCTCTGATATCTATCTGTGTCTCTCTCTCAGATTTACATGTCAAGCTTCAAGAGAGCCAATGTGGTTGCAACACCAGGCCTTATAAATCAAACCCCAAGTGCCCTTTCCTAGTTTCCTTCCTATCTCTATTTCTCTTGCTAGCGTCTTTTCCAAATCCAATGGAATCATACACCCTGACAATATCTTTTTGTCTTTATTTCTATCTCAATAGAGTATTTCCAGGAAGGAGGAGGCACAAAATCCCAAGATTTCTTGTCACTTTCTTTCCTCACTTTTTGGGGGGAGGCTTTGCCTTAAACAACCAGGAGGTGATTGGTTATTCAATTGGTAAATAGCAACGGGGAGTTGATTGAAGTAGTTATTTTGTTATCTTTGATATCAAGTTCAGGGGTTTAATGGTTTATCTTGTTCTTTTTGAACTTTTTGTTTGTTTGTTTGTTTGTTACTGGTTTGTGGTTGGTCTCCAATTTCATTCGAGGATACAGATGAGAGAATGATGGGATTCGTGGGGGATAATGATGGTGAGGATGGAATCAGTTTTCTCCCCAAAAAAAAAGGGGGATGGAATTGGAATCAGAAGGCCAAGATTAGTATTTTAAGATTTTTAGTGACATTAATATATTAATTAATATATATAAATCTAAATCACTTTTACTGTTCACTAACGAGTGTGCTAATGTTAAACCTATGGGCCGATTAATTGGGCTCGTGATTTTGTTTGTTAGGCTTCTCATGTGAAGTTACTTTGGGTCTATTGGCATATTCTATTGGGCTCCTGATTTTTGTTTGTTGAGCATTTGATGTCATTAAACCATTTCTGAATTTAAGAATTACTGCTAATGGATCAATGGAAATCGTCTATGGTAATGTAATAATAAAAAGGAAATTGTCTATGGCAATCCTTTTTTTTTTCTTTCATAATGCTACCAAACCAAAAGGAATGGCGATGGGTCAAAAGGGTGGATATCTCGGTATCAATATTCGTTTCGTGGCGCCACAACCACACCCATCAAGCGGTTAGCGACGTGAGTCAAGAGTCTCGTCGACGTGTCGCCTTTATAGTCATGGTTGATCCTTTGCTCATTGCCGGGATCACTCTCAGGACCTTGTTGTTGGTGCCCATTGCGTCTCGGATGTGTGAGGAGATCTGAACCATCTAGCAAGTTAGTTCTTTCTGCCTCTTCATTAGGGCCTTCAACAACGCTTGAGAACCTTTAGCCATCATGAGGTCCTTGACCACCACGTCGTCCTGCAGTTTATGTCCGGTACTCGGATCCATATGTTATTATGTAGAACCCTGACGTCGATGAACCATTGATACCACTGTAAGAACTAGGATCTAGGCGTCAACAACTAGGATTCCAAGTTTTGAGAGTAGAAGGAGGATTGGAAATTGAAGAGGATTGAGGAAGAAGGGGAACTCTGCTCAAAGGGGAGGGGAAAACCGACATTAGAGAGAGAGGGAGGGAAAATTCAGTTAGGGTAAGAGGAGAGAGATTAGGTTTAGGAATTTTGTTTTGTAATGGCTTAATGAGTAACATCACTAATTAGTAATTACAAAATACATATAATCCAATAAATTCTTTTTATTTACCCAACTGATATTCCTAACAAAATATCTCCAACTGTTCCCAAAAGTCCCAAATAATCACTAATTATCGCAAAGCATAAATAAATGACAAATAGGTTAATATCTCTAATTTTCCAAAAAAAAAAAAAAAACCACTAGTGTTTCTAACACGGTTACTTCGAACTATTAAGCATCTTTATAAATGATGCAAGCAACAACAAAAAAGTTGGCCTTACTATAAATTTCTCACTAACTTTGTAAAACTAATAATTTTCTGTCAACTTATTGGTGAGGAAGAATTCAATTGAATCAACTAAAACAATGGAGGAGCTAGCAGTGGCGGATTCAAAAAAATTTCGCAGGGGGTGTCCTCTTAAAAATTAAATTAAATTATATAATAAATTAAATAATTCGTATATTAAAAATATCATACTTGTATAATTTGTATAAATTTTTTATTAAATAATAAATTAAAATTCATAATTTGGAAAAAAATATAAATAAACTCCGTGTCTGCACTGTTCAAAAAAAAAAATCTACATATCCTACTAGACAATACTTCACGAACTTATCACATATTCGATTTCTAACATTGTTCTTAATGTAGCTCAAAGTAGACAAGACTCTTTCAACACTTGCCATGCAACCATAAATCAATTCAAAATTAAGGGTAGCGTCTACGTAGTTTAATTATTAGGTATTGAAAATAGTTGGGGATAAAGAAATAGTGTTTTACTGTTGCATGATGTTTAAAATAGAATAACAAATGAGTATCCACATAATTAGAATATGTTTGATTATAGTAGTGTCCTAGGTTGGAATAACACAGGCTACCACTGATATTTTGTTAATCATAAGCAAACTATTATCGAGGGTAGGATAAACATTTTTTCAAATGTTAGGGTGTCCCGGATTACCAATTATATTTTGTATACCCGTACGAAACTACTACCGGAGGTTGGATAATCGTTTCCCCAAATTTTAGGGTGTCCCGGGACACCCCTAGAGGCCCATGTATCCGCCCCTGGGAGCTAGGTTGAATGCAGAAGGGCTATATCCCCCACTCCACCCCCACACTTAAATTCGAAATATTTATAAAATTACATGTAGAATTCGCCTTGAATTTAGTAAATAGAGTAACTAGTAAGGCCTTAGCCCCACTTAATTGTCACAGTTCTAGTCAGCCCCCTCGTTTAAATTCCTAACTCCGCCACTGCCAACAAACTGTTTCATTTGGCAGGCCTTGGAGGTACAAAACCTAAACTATGATTATTTTTACCTTGTATTCCCGTAGTGATGGCAATGGGGCGGGGCGGGCGGGTACCTCAATTCCCATGCCCCGCCCCACGCTACTACGGGGCGGGGCGGGTCGACCCACTCTTACATGTTATTCGAAAAAAATACAAGTAAATTTTACTTTTTATGATAAAACGAAGGGTAAAACACTTTAAGAATGAAAAATAGTGGTAATAGAATGGGTAATTGAGTCTAACAAGTTGAAAGAGCAACTCTAACTAGTTGAAGAAAGTCAAAATAGGAGAGATATGTATAGAAATTGTAAGAAATTGAGATAAAATGAGTCTAGAACGGGGCGGAGTGGGGCAGGGCGGGTCGGAAGTAGATACCCATGCCCCGCCCCACGTTACTGCGGGTCGGGTAATACCCGCTCCACACTACTGCGGGTCATACCCGCCCCATCGCGGATCAGGTCGGGTAATACCCGCGGGGCGGGTTGAAATTGCCATCACTATATTCCCGCGTTTCCCATTCAAGATCTTATAGTTAAAGTTTAAAATTTTAAAAATCACATAACTAATTCTTCAATAACTCTCCAATGTCGTTCATAAAAATTAAGGTCTAGATTCATTATTTTAATCTTGTAAACTAAATGTTCCTAACTATACTCACCTTCAACTAGGGGTACATGGGTCGGTTGGTTCGGGTTTAACCATTTTAATCACCCGACCCATGCACTATGGTGTGGGAATTATCAAACCCAAACCCACCCAAAAATATTTAAACCCTATGGTTTGTTTCTAATTGGGTTGGATCGGGTTGGCGATTTTTGTAAGTAAAAATCCACCCCAACATAAAATATATAATTATTATACATCATAAAAATATTTTATAACTAATTAAAATTTCAAACGAATAAACCGAGGTGAAATGTATCAAAATTCACAAATGTTATTTGAATTGTAATAAAATGTGATTTACTTCAACATATGTCTAGTTTTTTTACGATATTTGTTGAAATAGGCTAAAAAGGTTATAAACAAACGCATCAATAATATATTATTCTATTAAATTTGTACTGAAGAAAAAGCATTACGTGAATCATAACTATATTCAATTGATGTCTAAACTTTAAGTCGAAGAATGCATTAGATTAGGGAGACCATGATAGGAAAACATGGCGAAATATCTTAATTTTCTCATAAGTATGGCTATATACGACATAAATATTTTTAGATACGAACTCATACTGATAGTTGGAACACGGGTTCGGTCGGGTTCTACGGGTTGTGTAATCCAAAATCCAAACCCAACCCAAAAGAGGCGGGTTGTACAAAAGAAAACCCTCACCCAACCCAAAATCTTCGTTTTAGAGATAAATACGGTGGGTTGGGTCGGGTTGGAATGATGGGTCGGTTTGCAGGTGTGTTTGTTCACCCCTACCTTCAACGTAACTATTACTTTCATATTAACAAAAAAAATCCTATTTTTCTTTTAATGATATTTATCCACACCTTGAAATTCGAACAAATTACAAGTGTTGTTAAAATTTCCATTCTGCAAATATCTCGAAAACCCTCACTATTACACACACAAAAAAAACAAACAAACACATGCTTATTTAATTTTTAATTATATCTTAATCCTCATTTCTAATTCTTAACTCCTACAAAGTTCATTCCTTTTCCCTCCTACCTCCCTCCCTCCCTCTTTTTTCGATGTGGGTAGCAATGGCGGATGTCGAGGGAACCCCGCCATGATGCTCAACTTCCACTAACTAGACTCAGACCACCAACTGTTTACCCGGCCATCACAATAAGTCAAGCACTCCAAGCTTCCTAATGTCGATTCATGTCAGGACATGGTATAAATCACTATATACTCCACTTGAGGGAGATTACTTGATTGTTACAAATTATAGTATCATTTAATTAACTAAAGTATTTTATTGTCTTCCAATATCTTATAATTAAAGAAAAAACTTATCATCCAAGAGGAACCTCATAAGAAAATGAGAAGATTGAAGTTCACTATACTTTACATATTACTTCATGCAAAATATGTTGGCTTCTTATTCATGTGTAGTGTATGTTAGGTCCAACTCATGCAAGATGAACACGCTTTTAATTTTCTTTGTTACTTCTGCTATTATACATGGTTAATATGGATAATCCAAAATTCGATTGAGTATAAACATGATTTTGACTTTCTACCTGATACTCGTGTGATTATCGGTATGGGTAAAATCCAAACTATTATGAGTAGGATAATAGATATACACTATTTGTCCCGACCCGATTAGTTGCTATCCCTGCGATCAAGCAGCATATTGGAGCAAGTCGGTCCATTGTAGATGTAGGATGTGATTAAAAACAAAATTTATGTATTATCTTGATCTTTACATGGAAAATAAAAATAAATAAAGGAGTTACACTATCTAATTAACAATCTACTCAATATATAATAGTGAGATGGGAAAAAACACAACACCATTTCAAATTTCGTGACCTAAGAATGATTCAAGTAAGGTCATTTCCGTAATTGTGCTCAATTTATCTTTATATATTAAAAATATTATTATTAGAATTTGAACCTTCGTTAATTAAATGTAGCAAGACCACTACAACCAACTAGGCTACTTTGTATTTATTCCAATTTTTTTTATTAAACTCTAAAAACACACTTTGTGTTACGCTTTCATATTTATATTTTAACTGAAGTTATATATATCTTATAGAAATATATTAATTATGAAATCAAAACTCAAGTAACAATGATTCGAACAATAAATATTAAATTGTATGTGTTGTTTAATTTGTGACAAATATAAGAACTATGCTACATGAAATTTTTGCGTTTACTTGCCAATTTTCAGCATTTTTATTCTAATCAACGTAAGTGAAAAAGGGAAAAATAAATAAAAATATTATTTCTTAAGAAAAAATGGAAAATTAATATGGGCAAATGAATGGTCACATGGCCTCTCCTTACAATCCCTTTTTAACTTTGATTTTCACTTCTTGTCCATCATTCATCGTCGATCAAAATCCAAATTTATATCTGCTCTCATCTAGCACTACATTGAAGTTCAATAAAACATATGAAAAATCTATGTCGATGGCTAATGACGAAGACAAAATAACCTACTCCAAACAACGTCTAAATCGACACTGACAAAACTCAAACATGAAGCAAGTTGCACAAGCACCTTTCCTTCAACACATATCAACATCTCACTAAATGATTCATTAACATCCTTCAACGAAAATATCCTGAAATTAGAAGATAGGATGGCCAATTTCTCGAGCAAATCAAAACAGATAATTAAAAACATGGTTTAATTGTATTTTTTTGTCAATTTTAATTTAAGCGACGACGATTCTGATGCTGAAGGATGACAGATATATATGGAGATCTTTCATTGGAAGAAGAAGGAGAAGGGAAGTAAAATTAAAATAGGAAAAAATAAAAACCAAATTTTTTATTTATACTAATTTGATGTGGCCGATAAGTGAGGTGACATGTTGATTTGGAGATAACGAGGGAGGTTAAGTGGTGTGCACTCAACTTCTTGTTATTTTTTCTAACGACATATCTAACGTAGTCACATTTCTAATGGGTATATTAATCCAAAAAACCTCCTAAATATGGCTATATTTTTCATTATATCTACCCAATATATAATAGTCAAATGAGAACATTGGTGGCCCATTTTCAATTTTCTAAAACGAGAGTGAAAGTACGAATGATATTTTTATTTTCAAAATTATTTATTTATTTAGTATTTATAAAAAAATAGAAAAATATTGGGATTTGAACCATGACTCTTAAAACATACATAGAGGCATAACCAATTACTCTAAACATATTTGTTGTATCTCTCTACATGTACGAAACATATGACAGTGGAGTGATAAAGTTGTTGCCCCTTTATTTCTTTCTTATTTTCATAAAAGAGACATAAATTTTGAGATTTGAACTAGGGTCGCTTCAGACAAATATTCATTAGAATCTTAATCAATTACACTAAATAGATTTGTTATTCATTTCAAAATAAAAACATACACGAATCTATAATCAGAAAATTTGAGGACATTTTCACCACGCTTAGCTAGCCACTAAGTCGTCCATAAGTATTTATTTGGTGTTTGATACTTTGATTTTTCATATTTTAATTATTCTCATTGGAATTTCATACTTAATTGAAAAATTTATCTATCTTATAAATGCAGGATATCTTAAAGCGAACTCATATATAACTTTTTGAATATTGCATATTGAATTTGAGTATTGAATATGTCGAAGCGATGTAGAAATGATGTAGAATTCTTAAGTTAGTATTAATTTTCAGCCCGGTTAACCATTACCCTTAAACCTCTAGGTAATCTGACATTCGATTCATTTCATTATAAAATTAGTTGCTGTATTTGGAATTTGATATTCAAATCTTTAGAAATAATTGAATTGAATTATCAAATCATATGTGTAATACGTTCATAATTGAATTAAATTGAAAAATTCCAATTATACCTTATTAATTTCCAACACAAAGAACATTGTTATTGCTCATTGAAAATCATTCTCCTACAAAAGAGAAAATCCATCTTCTAAAATGAAAGTGTTAAAGTTATCATCCAACCAATCCGACTAAGAAAAAATGAAATTATTAAAAATTAGTAAACAATTTGAAGATCCATCTTCTGAAAACCTTCATTGTAACTCATTTATCTCTTGAACCAAGAGAGACCGGTATCCTCAAGATTATGTATTAGGTTACATAAGTGCGCAAATATGGGGGTTTTGGCACCAAATTATATATAGGAGAAATTTACTTAATAACCGACAATAATTATTTTATGTTATCATAATCGGTAAAATACTTGTGAAATTAATTTTGAAATTCTATTTTAATTCCTCGGAATTTCTAAATATAGTCTCAATTGCGCAGAATTGAAAATGGGTTTCTTTATATTCCAAACACCAAGAAATTTTATTTCAAAATAAATATGTCGAAACTTATAGAATTCATTATATCAAACGGTATGTTACGTTAAACCAAAAGCTAAAAGCTAATGTTATTAAGTGAGTATATGAGAAGCAAAAGGGTGGAAGTATAATTTGATATAAAAAGATAAACTTTTGTTAATAAGAAATTGAAATGGAGACGTTTTGTTATCAAATAACCCGCCAACCAATAGACTACTTATATTTTTTTTTCCATAATGTTAAAAACATAGGTTATATATATATTTAATTTGTCCCGACACCCATCTTATTACACTCTGGTCCGCCCCTACAGATGTCAATGCAATGAAACATAGTTTGTGGTCGTGATGCACGGTTCATTCCAACAAACCTTACACTTTGAATGTGTATTAAGATTATGCTTTGAATGTATATTAAGAATGTTAATATCTTCGTTGATTTCATGAGTTATTAGGTGCATTTAGTTCTATAATTGAAGATCAACATGTTGAATTCTAGGTATAGTCATATTGAAATGCGAGGTAGGTAATACTATTATCCATGGGTACTCGAAAAACTAGAATATGAGGATGAGATTGCAAAATCTCACCCTCATAGGTATGAGAAGCGTATGAATTTTGATATTTTGAAAAGAAAATGTGTGATTTAGGAAAACTCGCCCCAAATCTTCCTTATTGCTATCTCTAGTCTTATATCGCAATTCTCGACAATTCCCGTCACTTTTCCAAAACAAATATATTATAGGAATTTTAATTAACACAAAAATATTAAGGAAAAAAGCTCACTTTACCAAAAACTTAGAACTTAATATATGATTGTTTATAGATGATGTAGATAGTTTGTATAAAATCGAATAAGAGACCATTCCATTTAATTTTACTCACCTAAACAAGTACTATTTTAAAATCATAACTAAAAATTGAATATTGATAAACCATGTTCATCTGAATTTGTTCTCAACAGTCAACCTTACACTTCCAAAATGTATTTTTAACTAGAGATTTTTTCCTTTAATTGTTGGTCTCAACTCTCAAGATCGAAGAATTTAAGTGACGGAGAATGTGGAAATAATTTATCCACATCGTGTAAATTAAATAGTTTTCTTTTTTATATAAATTTATTGTTGTTTCATAATGTGTGGAGAGGGAGTTCCCTTTTAAAAAGAAATGTGCAAAGGAGATTTTGATTCTTTGCAGATAATAAACAGAGATAAAGTGTGCCATAGATCTTTGGCCGACGCATTGCCCATGGTTTCTTCCAGTCTTTTGTATTAGTTGAAGGATTTGTCTGGGTAAAATATCTCGGGCATCACTTAAGTTTGAGGATTGGGGTAGGCATACAACTTAAATTTGAATAGGGTGTCGGGTACCATTAAAGTTGACAAAATGTGTATCCGTCTACTTTTCCATCCAATCCGAACTTTTAATTATTTTTTGGTACCCGAAATTTATAAAAACATTCAAAACTATATTTCAACAAGTTTTATCTAATATAAAATTAGAAAACCTTCTAAACATATTATTACTCAAAAGGATAATCAATTTTTTCATAAAATAGATAAATTAGTAAAAATATTGAACAAATATTAAGAAAAATAATAAATACACTAGAATATAATATTAAATATTTAAAATTAATATTATAATATCTATTTAAACACCCTAATTCAATTAGAAGCACCATTAGAAATAGTTAAAACAGAACCTAATCGATCATCAATACATCAAAACCAAAGAAAGATAAATGGAACACAATCATAAGGAATAAAATATATTCTAGTAATTGAAAAAACATTTAGAACGAAAAAAGAGGGAAAATAACCAAGTAATAAATGAACTATAAAAAGAAAGATAAATGGAACACAATCACAAGTAATAAAACATATTCTAGTAATTGAAAAAAACATTTAAAACGAAAAGAGAGGGAAAGTAACCAAGTAATAAATGAACTATAAAAGCTACAACATTCAGTAAAAATTGTAGAAAATAAAATATGATTATAGGAAGAGAATTAGAATTACTAAATTTAACTAATATGAAACATATACAATATAATATTAGAGAAATAAAAGGAGATTTAACATGGAAAATTAGACAACATCACCATGATGTGGCATAACTAAATATAACAATCTTAGATTATTTATATCGAGATAGAATTCATAAGATATATTTGCTTCAGAAAATTATTCAATTATAAGAACACATAATGACAATTGAAAATACTTATAATGATAATTGATTCTAATTTTTTATTGAAAAATTGATTTGCTATCAATTAGTAACTTACGAGGTCAACTGGTCTTCTAAGATGTCCCCTATCTCTCTCAACGCGAGTACTAGACTCAAACCATGATCATGAGAAGCAGTGGGACTATGACAACCAATTCATGGATAAGAAGACTCACACAATTCAACGACCAAGGAATCTTCGTATCGGGTGCTCTTCCATTTCATTTCAATCTCTGGAACCCCTTTTCGTACTTTTGTTTTCTTTTTGTTTTCTTTTTCTCATTCACACTTTATTGGGGTTCCAAACTGCAGTTTTATGCACGGTCAACCCTTATTGGTTGAGCAAGAGCAATTTATGTACATCTGTCGCTCGCCAGAGTACTTCTTTTAACTCCTTTTCCTCAACTCGTGTGGAGGATCAATGAAATTAAGGGGTGTCGGAAGCTCTATCCGTGCCCTTAAAAACACATCCTCAAGTAGGCAAACCGTTCAACGGGTGGAAATTTTTACTTGTACTAAAGAAAACTTAGATTCACCATGTAGGCCTACCCCACCAAGGATCACTAAAATCCCTTCCAAAACCTGATTTTGTGCAATGAATGGTGCCACACATGTTGGGCTTTCCCCATGTTTAAAATTTCAATTTTTCTGACATGGAGGACCAACTTCTTTATCATTTCACACAATTGAGCACCCTTTTTCGATACACGAGTCCACAACACAACGTAAGGAGAGTTATCAATACCACATGAATCAAGGGTCCTAAATCCACTAGTTCACAAAATCAACCGACACAGCAAGGAGATAGGTAGGAAAAATCGTATACTTCAACATCCTCCATAATGCTACAACTACCTCCCCAGGTTGCATATCACCATAAAGACTGTCAATTCAAAGCATTTTGAGCAAGTTATTGCAAGGAACAGTACTTGGATCCCTCAATTCATCAAATTGGACAGTGGACTAGGCTCCAAGCATACAAACGCATCTATGCAGTCAAAGATAACCCCCCCCCCCCCCCCACACACACACACACTTAAGCATGACATTGCCCTCAATGATGGAGAAGAGGAAAGGATAAGGGGAACGATGTTACCGATGAAACGGATTGCATGGAGACTGGAAATGGGACCAATCATCAGGAGCCGAATGGACGGTGGACCAGTTTCTGAGAGGAAAGGCGAGACAAAACACAACCACTCACATTGGGTAAGAGTTAGGATAACAGTTGTCAGCTCCATGGCTTCAAACAAAAAGGAAAGACAAACAAAACCAACAATATCCAGATCGACTCAAAAGAACCAACACAAAACAACAAAACACAAAAAAATGGAGCTCTCCATCAAGTATCAGTCCTCCTTGTCATCATCCTGAGGCGAAGAAGGGTGCCAGAAACCCTGGGTAATGTTCACATCAGCCTCTGAGCACAGGGGCTCCAGCAAGAAATGAGAGTAGTGCCTGGCATCACGCTCACGATCGAGGCGCGCCTTGATCCAATCGAAACGAGCCTCCACGACGGCCTAGTTGCCACCAACTAGTGCGACTAAGGAGGGCCCGGCACCCGAGTCGTCGGGGTAAGACTGAAGTGGCGGGGTGGTGGGGGCTCGGTTGCTGCGGCCTCATCGAACTCTACTGGACGCATGTCCCTGATCCAACGGATCCGCAGGTCTTTCCTAACGACCCGAATCATCCCTATGTCACTCAATGTCTCGTCGGGGAAGTCTCTGGCACGCCCGACTAGGGCGCACCCATCTAGCGGCACTCCAAAGAACCGCGCAAGCTGAGTGATGAAGGCCCCTCTATGCAGTGTGGTGACCTTCGAGTGGTTCCTCCCGGGTGAAAGAGATTGTAAGAACGGATCCCAGGTTGAGACCGTCCCCTGCACTAGCCATGGAGACAAGGGCATACATGTGTCTCTTTGTCACCTGACCAAACGCCTCTTGATTGGGAATGACAGAGTGAGCTAGCAGCGCCTGAACGAAGCGCCACGGGGCCTGCAGCTGGCTGGCCCTGGTCCGGCTGTGCACATAGGGAGCGACAGAGTGGTGGCGAGTGGAGTCCAGGCCCAAGGCGGTGGTGAACTCGGCGTAGCTCAAGTTGTGGTGGTAACCTCCAAGGCAGAGGTATTTTATACCAAGCCATCAACGGTTAAACCTATTAATGTTATGTCATACATCCTTAAAGATGTCTAATCTCATAGAGAGATCCTTCGGCGATAATAAATGCTATGACAAGCAGATATCGAGGTATGCAAATTATGTGATCTCTGTTCATTGGTAATAGCACATAGACCAACATCTATATTGTCAGATGCCTTGGGTTATGGGGCGTCTTACAAAGGTCACCTCCTTTGACCCCTCTACCCTGATGGCTCCAGGCAGAACATCTCTTTAAATAGTAATTTGACCATGGGCTTCTGGTCTAGGTGGCTCATCACTTGGTCCAACACCACCCTAGTTTTTTTAATCCAAGATAAGCTCCAAGGCATGGTCGGACAACAAAATGCAAAACATATAATAATAATGAACGATAATCCGTATGCAACCAGATTCCCGATGAAAGAGCCTGTTATGCCACTAGGTGGACAACTCTGAGAAAGCTCCAAGGAGCGAAAAGACACGAAACTGACACGAAGGGAAGGAAGAGAGAAAAAAACTTCCGTGTAAGTGGCTCCTGCACTGTGAAGAGAATGCTTCCTCGATGTAGGATCCATGTTGACCAATTGAGAAACCCTGCAATATGTAACAATCAATACATTAAGGGTAAGAATTACAATCACATAACCTCACTAAAGACAAGTATGATCATCGATAATACTGGTATAGAATTTACGGAAGTCAAATGGAATAGTTCCATCACCTAAGAAGCCGACCGAGAGTCAGTGCATATCCTTGAAGATTCATTATCACAATTGAATAAATCATTTAACGAGACTTGCTTTCCATCACAGGTTGAGGAGATGCTCGATCATAACTTCACTATACTAATTTTTCATGTAAAGAAACAAGCTGCAAAGGCACCACTATGGTGCTAAAAATCTCTAACTGAAGAGATTAAAATCTAACATGAGATATAGTCGGATTTCACCGAAAATTTCACACCAATAATGTGGTTTCAACCCGAAGTTGGATCAAAAGCTTTTGTGGGAATACCAAAAAATTTATGAGTTGACCAAATTGAATAAACACACTACAAGGTTGAGATTTATAATGAACAAAATAGATCCACCTAAAAATACTATAATGATCATAGAAAAAAATATAACAAGACTGTTGATCATAAAAAAGATGCAAGGCCCAAAAGATCTCTACATATAAGTTCCAATGGAGCATATGCTTGATAACTTGAAGAAGGAAAATGAAGTTAATGAATTTTGTAGACAAAAAACCATGACATAGATAAGAGACATATTTCTCATATTTTATTTGATGATGAGAGAAAATATATTGAACACCTCGTAAGTTTGCATGACAAAGACGATGATGCCAGGTCAAGAGAAGCAACGAAGACATGAGGTAGAAACTGGGGATGTGTAACAGAAATAAGTAAAGGCCATCAATGGTGGTGTCACGGTAGAGTTCATACTTCGTGTGATGGTCCTTGATAACAAAATAAGAGTCAAATAATTCATTGGAAATATTATTAGAATGAGTAAGAGAACTCACCGATAGAAGGTTATGCAAGGCATCTTTAACGTGAACAATATTATGAAGAAAAAGGGAAATTTTGTAAATGGTAGCTTGAGATGAACCTCAGTGTGATTTTGGACGAGCCAAGTTTTCGAGATCTTAAGTCAAATGATGATTAGCCCCAAACTCCATGAGCCACTACCGAGAGGAGGTAAATGGATGAGGGGAGTGGGCTAAGTGAGATGTTGGGCCAGAGGGATAGAAAGTTGGAAATAAATTACTTGAAAAGTCGAGCCGAAATTTTACCCCTCTTGCATGATATCATGTTTGATGGGTACTTCGGGGGTATGAGAGTACTTGGGATACCCATTCCAACCCTCCTTGCATGATGTCGTGCTTGACACCCCAGCGTAACTCTGCTTGGATGATGTCATGCTTAACGTCTAGGTTCTTACTACTTGGTAGTTCATGCTCACCTCCCCTAGCATGCCGTCATCTTTGACACCCTAGTGTTGGGTACCTGGGTAGGCAACATACTTGACAGTTGGGTAGGTAGTCTGCTTGGAAGGTGGGCAGGTGCGTGCTTGATAGGTAGGTGTTTGGGTGTTTGATCTAGAGGGGTAGATCCAGGGCTAGATCGCAGGATGATGTGGTAGCCCAAAACTCCATAACTTAGGCCCAACTTAGACCAAATTAATTAATATGGTAAAGTTGGCCTTATAAACCACCACCTCTATATTGAAATTAATCAATGTGATACTAAATTAATATTTAGTGGTAAACACCTACTTAATCATTAATGATATACTATGAAAATCATACAAAAAAACAAAATTGATAAGACACTTAAGTATTACTAAAAAGTGCTAAAATACCCTAGATAAAACACTTAAATACTACTAAATATCGTTAAAATTTACTAAAAGTATGAAGCGACCTTAATTCATACTTTGTGGATAAATACTCATACTAAAACAACCTTAATCATTATTATATTACTAATTTTGTACAAAAATTACTAATAAGAGACTTGAGTATCACTAACAAGTGATTAAACATCGGCAAAGGTTAGGATGCTAACACTTTTTTTTGTTAGCGTGGTGCTAACACAAGCTCCAACCAATAGCTCCAATCAATAAAAACACTAGCTTATTTTATTTTAAATGAGTTGATCACAATTGATAAAGGGGAAGGGAAAGAGGGGCACGCTGGTCATTAGTTAAAAATTGGAAAGGGGAAATCACGTGTGTGATGTGTCTTGTGTTTTTAATTTGGGGAAATGGTGCATTAATTGGGGAAAAGGTGGGGACCACCAAACAGTAAAAAAAACCACAAAAAACAGAACACAAGTCTCATAAAACAAACCAGTAATCCCATGAAGAAGAACACACATTCTTAAAGCAGTTCACAAATTTATAAAAGCAAACCACAAATCTCTTAAAGTAGACCACAAATTCATTATACCATACCACAAGTCTCATAAAACATGCCAAAAACATTATAAAACAAACCGCAAATCTTACAAAGCAAACCACAAGTCTTAAATCATGTAAAAACACACATATTTTATATAGAGTTGTTCTAAGCCATTACATAAAAAACCAAAAGAAAACAAAAAAGAATAAAGAGCCCACAAACAAGGCTCGCTAAGAGGAGGAATGGAACTCTAGGTCCATAATGCCTATGTTTGGCCCGGATTTTAGAAGTGTTTTTCGGCTTCAAAAGCTGAAGCAGGGCCAAACACCTCTAAAAGCTCGGCTTTTGAAAAGCCAAAAAGCGCTTTTGTATAACATAAAAGCAGAAGCTCCGATTTGGAGCTTCTGCGAAAAGCTGTTTTGAAAATACAAGATTATCCTTACCATATTTTAATTTTATTTCAGAAAATATAATTTTCCTTCATTTATATCATTTTAAAAATAAAATAAATTATAAAATCATATTATTTAGGGCGTGCCTATGGTGACATGCATGTCACGGTGACTTGCACTTTTCGGTCGACCTCAGTTAGGATTAGGTCGACCTCATGTAGGATTAGGTCGACCTCATTTAGGATTAGGTCAACCTCATATAGGATTAGGTCAACCTCATCGGTTGTTTCAGTGTAAAAACAGTTTCATGGTGCCTACTTTAGAGATTCATATCTTACAATTGGCTCGATGGAAATTGGATATTAATGGCTTGTTTTGAAGCTGGAGTTCCCTCTACAAATTGAAGTGCTTGAGAGCTCGATAGGAAGTCCAGAAGACCATTTTTGAACTTGATCAAAAGACTATGCCAAAACTGGGAAACTGGCTGAAAATGGCTCAAGTCTGGAAACGTGTTTGTGAACCCTACTTTGGAGCTCAATTCGGGAAGCATGGATGCGAGTCGAGTCCAGGGGCCTCTACCACGTTAAATTAGGTATGTTTTTATACAAATTCAAGTCATTGGATCAAAGATTGGATATCTGTAAGGCTTCAAACAAAAGGGTCGAAGTTGCTACGAAGACTGTTTTTCTGGCAGACTTCGAGCACAAGCAAGCTGCCAGAAAAACAGCCTTCATAGCAACTTCAACCCTTTTGTTTGAAGCCTTACAGATATCCAATCTTTCATCCAATGCCTTGAATTTGTATAAAAGCATACCTAATTTAACGTGTTAGAGGCCCCTGGACTCGATTCACATCCATGCTTCTCGAATCGAGTTCCAAAATAGGCTTCACAAACACGTTCCCAGACTTAGCCATTTTCAAGAAGTTTCCAAGTTTTAGCATAGCCTTTTGATCAGGTTCAAAATTGGTTTTCTGGACTTTTTGTTGAGCTCCCAAGTACTTTAATGTGTAGAGGGACCATGGTTGTCATGCCAGTGGTATGCCGGCCGGTTGAACCGGTGCCGGTGATGAAACCGGCTGGAATACCACCGACATAACCCTCTGGTCAATTCCGGTCAATACCGGTCAAACCCCGGAATGCCGGTGGTTCAACCGGAATAGAAAATGCCGGCCTGATAAGCAATCCGCCGTCGTTCTGTCGAAATGGATTAGGCTGCACTTAGGGATTTTGCAGGCGAGCTCCCAAGACCCATCCTCGATCCCTAGCCTTCTTCGCCTCATCACAAGGTCTTGCTCGAGCAACTCTTTCTCCCGGCGCGTCTTCCTCTGGTGACGTCTTTCCTCGGCGCGTCTTCCTCTTGCAGGCGAGCTCCCAAGATCCACTTCCTCCCGGTGCGTCTTCCTCTGGTGACGCCACCGGCCACCGCATCTTCCTCCGGCGAAGCTACCAATTTAATGTCATCTTCCTCCTGGCGCATCTTCCTCCCGGCGACGCCACCGCATCTTCCTCCCTCTGCAACCTGTTTGTAGATAATCTCTATTGAGGGTAGCCAAAAATAGATAGAAATTGGGAGGGTTTGGTTGGGCATGACATTCTATGTAAAAGGGTAAAGGAGGAAGGGTTGATGGGTGGTGTTTCTGCGATCCTAGTGCTGGGGCGGTGGCGGATTGGGGATATAAATTAGGGTTTATATTTTTTTATGAATGTTTTATTATTTTTTATACGTATTTTCTTAAACAGGCATAAACCGGTATGTATACCGGTTATACCACGGTTGAACAATTTCATTTGTGAAACCGGCACACCGGCATAAACCGGTTTGACAACCTTGAGAGGGACACTTCAGCTTCAAAACAAGCCATTGATCTCTAATTTCCATCTAGCTAATTGTAAAATATGAATCTCCAAAGTAGGCACCATGAAACTGTTTTTACACTGAAACAACAAATTAGGTCAACCTAATCCTATATGAGGTCGACCGAAAAGTGTATGTCACCGTGACATGCATGTCAACGTAACAAAGTCCTATTATTTAATATAAAAGAGATCTAACAAGATCCATTTTGACTACTTTTTATTGTTTTGAATTTTTATTTTTATTTTATATTATAATTCCTTTATAGTCATTTTACACAACCGCTCATATTAAAAAGCACTTCTAATAGTTTTACAGCCAAACACTAAACTGCTTTTTTTGAAAAGTACTTATCTAAAAGCTACAGCCAGAAGCTGCTTCTGCAAAAGTTACAGTAGGGCCAAACTAAGCTAATGTTCTTTTCGCCGGTAACCTCACATGACGTGCAGCTTTGATTTTTACCTCCACTGTTTCAACTTTCTTCTTCATCTCTGTCTCGCTCTCCACCTTCATTTTTTAATTGGGCACACTAACGGCTTCGTGTTTGCGGTAGGGGGAGACGATTTTGGGGGATAATTTGGAATCCCCTGCTCCTACCGGGTCCAGTCCATCTAACCGGCGATAACGAACTTCGACTCACGAATCCCCAAGGCATCGAGTTTTGGCGATCTAGAATACTCAACGTCTTTATCTCCTCCCGACGAATGGTCCTCGATGACGATGATTTAGGGAACGAGTCAATTCGCCGTACTACTCCATCGGGACCGAATTCGTTTGCGATCCCTAAAAGCAGCTGGTGTTCGGCGAATAGTGTTTCTGTACGTGGGGAGAGAAAGCAACTGAAGTAGATTCAATTTTGGAAAGAGTCTAAGACCGCCCACAATGGGAGGTTAAAAATTGAGAAATGAGGGTTTTTTCCACTTTTATTGCTCACAATGTCAGGTTAAAAAAGGGGAAAGTAGGTTTTTTTAGTTGGGAATGGGTGGATTTTCCCCACAACCGGACAAAAGGAGGGGGGGGGGGGGGAGGAGGGGAGTGGGATGGAAGGAGAGGAAGGGGCCCTTTTTTATTTTTTTTTTTGCTTTTCTGTTAATTTATTACTTAATTTTTTATTTTTGTGTTGTTTGGGGTTTTCTAAAAAGTAAATCGTTCATTGATGACGCCATATTTAATTAAGAAGAAAAAAAACTATGTCAAAATGAAAATATATATATCACAATGTTCGTCTTAATTAATTATTTCTATCTATATAAAAAGATTTATCAAAGTATTTAAGTAAAGTGACAAAATCATCACTAAACTAGTTTATCAAAAAGCACTACTCTCACTTTTCTCTCCCACTGCCAAACCCAAAAAACCCATTTTTCTCACTCTTCCCACCCATTTTTCCCACCCAACCATTGAAGGTGATCTAAAAGAGCGAGGGAGGGGATGGTGGGGAAAGGAGGAGTGTGTTGTAGACAGGTTGCTATACAGGATTAGTTTACTATTATGCTCTTATACTAACTGTTAGCAGGGTGCTAACACTAAGACCAGCTTTAGTGATGGGCCAAAATTCCAAAATTTTGGACCCAAGGCACTAGTAAGGTTCCAGAATTTCATTTGGTCCAATTTATCCAAAAATTGGGGCCAAATTTGGCCCACAAACGGACAAAAAGTCCAAACTTGCACGGGCCCACAGAGGGAGGAGTGGCAGACGCGCACCCATGTGCTTCCCCCTTGCTTTTTGCTGTTTTGACCGTTGGAAATACAAAAAAAAATTACTTTTCAGCACCTACACTCTCTCCAACGGCTCTTTCAGCCCCAACAGCTAGTTTTTGCCAAATTTATCAATAAATACTACCAATCCATTCACTTCTACTTCATCACTTCCATTTTTTTCTCCCAATTCTCTCGATACTCATCTTCTTCTCATAGAAAAAAAATCTCTTCCTCCCAAACGCCTGGTTATGTCTCAAAGCAATCGCCCACCAAATTGGAAGGAGGACGAAGATAGAGTTTTGTGCAAAGCGTGGATTGAAATTTCGGAGGATGGTTCTGTCGGCAATTATCAATCTGGGCCTGAGTTGTGGAGGCGAATTGGGGTAGTATTTGCCGAGAATACCACAGGAATTTCACGTCCTGACGGGCCCTACAAAATCGATGGAAGACCATAATCAAGTTTTGTGGTGCATGGAATGCAGCATCGAAGAGAGCAAGTGCGACACCAATGAGTGGAGAAAACCTCAACGATGTGGTGAGTTAAGTTAAATTAAGGATTATTATGCCATTAATTTGTTATTTGATTTGCTTGTTCATATTAGTTTAAAATACTTTGTGAAAATTGTATAGGTTGAACGAGCTAAAAATATTTACAAGGCAAATATCGGAAAGCCTTTCCATTTGCAGCATTGTTGGGAGATTTGTCAACATTTTCCAAAGTTTCTTCAACAATTTACTACTCCCGTGCTACCCGTTCCACCAATGGGTGGATCTTCATTGGGCTTCCCATCCGTCGAGAGTGATAGCCCCGACGTTCAAGCTACTCCTTTTGTGATCAACCGTCCCGAAGGTCATGATAAGCAAAAGAAGAAGAACAGAGGAACTCCATATTCTTCCTATGAAAGTTGGGAGAAGAGTATGGCCAATATGGTGGATAATTCGAACACACACACGAGGCTACCACTCGCTCGAGAGGAACGTGAAATTCAAAGAGAAGCAAGGGAGAAGAACAGACAATGATGGTAATGAATAAGGATCTTTCTCAAATGAGTCCTCGATATCGTGCTTGGTATCAGAGTCAAAAAGATAACATTGTGGCTTCTTACCAAAATGATTTCGATATGTAATCTTTATGTAGTTTTGTGGTATGTTTGATGTACGCTTTTCGTTGTAATTTTCATGTAGTAGATTTATGTTTAATGTATGCTTTTCATTGTAATTTTCATGTAGTAGATTTAATTTTGATGTACGCTTTTCTTCAATTGCTAATGCACGTACCTTATTTTTCGTCTTATTAAGATAACATAGAAAATACATCAAGATAACATAGAAAATACATTAGGATAACATAGGAATACATCAAGCAAACGTAGAAAATACATTAGGAAAACATAGAAAATAGATAAAGAAAACATAGAAAATACATTAGGAAAACATAGGAAAACACTTTCTTTATTTCAACAAACTCGTCGACTACTCTCCTCCATGTATGGTCCACAATTGTTCTATCAAATCGTTCCGCAATGCGTGATGTCCATGTCGATCACGAATCCTGTTATGCCTAGCCATGTACTCCATGAGAGTAGGAGTGTTATGTTCAGGTGGCTCCCATGTGACATTTGGATTACTCTCATTCTCATACTCAATGTTCACCTCTTCCCCATCCCCATACTCGAACCGTTGGTCTTCCAATATCATATTATGCATAATAATACAAGTTAACATGACATTACCAAGTGTTTGCACATCCCAAAGACGGCTAGGGCCCCTAACAATGGCCCATCTTTGTTGAAGTATGCCAAAGGCCCTTTCAACATCCTTCCGGTAAGCCTCTTGACACCTTGCAAACAACTTCTTTTTCTGGTTACTTGGAGTGCTGATAGTCTTCACAAATGTAGCCCACTCAGGATAAATTCCGTCAACCAGGTAATAACATCGATCGTACATTTTACCATTTACCTCATAATTGACCTTGGGAACCAGTCCTTGAACTGCATGATCGAATAATGGGGACACTCCCAGAGTGTTGATGTCGTTGTTCGATCCTGGTGTTCCAAAGAAGGCATGCCAAATCCATGTGTCGTATGATGCCACAGCTTCAAGGACAATATTTGGTTTCTTCTTGTGCCCAGTGAATTGGCCTGCCCACCCAGTTGGACAGTTCTTCCACTCCCAATGCATACACTCGATAGAACCAATCATGCCCGGAAATCCACGTTGTGCAGCATGATGAAGGAGGCGGTGAGTATCATCTACAGTTGGTGCACGCAAGTATTGAGCACCATAAATGTTTGTGATAGCCGAGCAGAATTTCCTCAGACACAACAATACAGTGCTCTCAGCCATTCGACATGACTCATCCAAAGAGTCTGCCGAGCATCCATAGGCAAGCATGCGGAACGCAGCAGTAAGCTTCTAATGTGGGGAGAATGAGTCACGACCTGCAGCATCTGTCCCTTGCTTGAAGTAGTCATCATATTGAACAACATCGTTCATGACTCGGTTGAATAAGACAGTGGGCATCTGATATCGCCTTGTGAAGGCCTTAGCATAGTAGGTTGGATTCGGGGTGAAGTAGTCTTGCATCAAGCGCCTCTGGCCGTCTTCCTTGTTACGTCTCACTGTTTTTCGTGTTGATGAACTGCCACGAGATCCACTTGCTTGATGTTGGTGAGGATGGCTTGCATACATCATGAACATCTCCATGCGATCACACTCAATTTGACACTCATATTCCCATTGCCTATTATCAGCTTCTATTTGCCTCTCATCAGCTTCTATTTCCATCTCATAAGCTTCTCTATCAGGGGAATCCATTAAGTCGAAATAGTTTTGGGTGACTAGAGGAGAATGGAGAATCAAGGGGTTTTTTCAGGAAAGAAGGTTGAATGGTGAATGAGTTCCAAGACTAAGTTTGTTGATTCACTTATAGAGAAATGATTCCATCTGCACCAATGTTTAAAGTTGAATGAACAGTTGATGACACAGATTCATTATGATTAAAGCTGTATAAACAGTTGATGTCACACTTCAGTATGATTAAAGCTGAATGCATAGTTGATGGCACCATTCATCATGATTAAAGTTGAATGAATAGTTGATAGGACAACTCATTCTGACAAGCATGTGATGAATCCATGGCTATCTGAACCAATAATGTTGTTTT